TACTTGGTACTAGTATAATGATAATAACGAAGTTGTCTTAGATGTGTCAGTTCAACTGGGTATTAGCATAAAAAAACAGCAAAAATGTCTTACATATAATCTTATTATACCCGAGCGCACTTGTGCACAAGGGTATATTAATTTTGTTCACATAACGGTTGTTTGTAACAGCCAAAACGAATCGAGATAGATATAGACAAATGTATACATAGATGTTCAGAATGAATGGAGAAATCGACTAAGCCATGTCTGTCTGTCCGTCCGTCTGTCCGTCCGTTCGTGTACACGATAACTCGAGCAAAAATTGAGATATCTCAACGAAATTTGGTATGTAGGTTTCTGCTAATCCAAGGTAGGTTGGTATTGAAAATGGGCAAAATCGGACAATAACCACGGCCACATCCCATATAACGGTAATTTTCGGAAAAACGAAACTTGCGATATTTTAGTAACTACTGAAGATTATTCACTCAAAATTGATATTTATAACAATTTTTAGGCGAAAAATAAGAATATTATAAATTTTTGGAAAATGGGCTTAGCCACGCCCACTTATGGTTACATGTGAATATCTTGGCAACCGCTGCACCGATTTCATCCAAACTTGTCACAGTTGTTGGCCTTGGTACAGCATACCAAATGGCCGAAAATAACCACGCCCACAGTCCATAGGGTAATTTAGAGAAATACGAAATCTTCGATAAATCAGTAAATATTAAAGCTAATTTATTCAAAATTGACGCTTGCAACAATTCTTTATCTAGAAATACGTTTATGGTAAAAGTTTGGAAAATGGGCTTAGCACCGCCCACTTATGATCACATATATGTCTATCGGTAACCGTTCTACGAATTTGTGCCAAACTCGGTATGGTTATTATGCTTTCAACATAAAAGCAAAGCGTTGACAATTATTTAAATCGGACTAAAATTACGGCCGCTTTTCATATAACGGTAAATTTCAGAAATGCTTGAAACTTCAATATTTCGAAATTTAAGGACGCTAATTTACTCAAAATTGATACACCCCGGCTTACCATGTAGCGGTAGCTTTCGGAAAGGTGAAAAACATATATGTATTTAATACTTGCGCCGGGTATTTAATGTTCGGCCCCGCCCGAACTTAGACTTTCTTACTTGTTAAAATTAGGACTTTACTTAAATGTGCTGTTGATATCTTCGTCCCTGCGGTACAAGGAATATATATTTCCTTAATAGGTAAATGATTATCTGGGTTGCAGAGGTCTATATCAGCTGGGTCACTTGAATAGAGTTTGGTTTGAAAAAAAAAGACAATATAAGTTTATAGTTACTTTCAAAATTGTTATATATATATATATTG